AATGAAAAAACACAAATGCAATCACAGAGGAGACTCTTATTACCACATTCAGATTGAGATCGTACCTATTTTGGCAATGATTAAATCCACCCAATGTCTCCAGATCGTTACTGTGCATTGTTTCTGAAGAATGCATTGTATCTGGACAATAGGACAAATGTTCTTCCGATGAAGCAATAGAATTGGTCCTCCTTGACTTCCTCCTTTGTCTCTTCCTTCTTGAGATTGAATCACTAGTGAATCTCTCCACCTCAGTGCCACTGGCCAAAACTTCCTCGGAGCCTAGATTGCTGTAATGTCACATGAAATTATTAGACACAAGCCAAGTTACGTGTTACATAAATTGGCATTTCATCATTGAACACTATAAAATATGAACATTGAAACATCATACCTCAACCCCCAGTTCTGATGTCCAGAGAGATTGATACGCTCAGATTCAGATGTACATGTTATTTCTGGCAATGGGACAAAATCACTAGGCAGTAGGCCAGGCCGTTCTGATTCCCGATCGACAAAGTTTGAAATCAGAGCGGCCCTTTGCATCTTTTTGGCAGCTTGAAGCCAAGGCACTTCATGTGGAAGAAGCACCTTCCATCTCCTGATTAGAATCAAAATAAAAGCAAGAAGAATCAAGACTCGTGAGAAAATAATAGGTAAACAGCAACAGTGATCTCATGCAAACTATCTGACTGGAATATTACCTTCGGCACTGACTATCAGTACGAGGCGGAACACACGCTGCAACCTTAGACCAACAATAGCCATGCTCTTCAATGGCTGCCTTTAATTTTGAATCCTCTTCTTGTGTCCAGTCATTCCGATTTAGAGAGGGATCTACGCAGTTCACCCATCTGGTTCCAAAAACAAGGCCATGTTATTAGCAAATCAAACAATAGCAGTACCTTACTGAAAGAGAAGTATAGCTACCTTTCTCTACACTGAACTTGTGTCCTTCCAGGGACAAATCGGGCTATTTTTTTCCAAGTTTTCGGCCCAAAGAGCATCACAGCAACTTTTAAGCGCTTGTCTTCCTCTGGAGTCCACTTACCAACCCTTTGCCTGGCTGGGTGAAGTGATTTCATCCATCTGCATCAGTTTAAAAGACATGGTCAGGGTTCAAAAACCTAGTTGACATAAGCATGAAAAGAATCGCATATTTCAATGTCACACCATACCCCAATGTTTTCAATTTACTTCCTTTCAATTTCAACAAACAAACATTTAACATTGCTTAAGAAAAGACTTAAAACCAACACACAGGTTAAGAAGCAAACTGACCTATTAGAGCATTGGGTACCTATCCGTCCTTCCATAGCCGAAGCAACGACCTGCCAGTTGCTTTCTCCAAAAGCCTCTACGGCTGCTCGAAGTTGATTATCCTCCTCCTCAGTCCACTCCCTTTTGATTATGGAAGCATTAAGGCTTCTTTGATAACGAGCCAAGCACTGAAACGGGGTCCTATTTGTCCCCATTGATACAGCAATATCTATCCAGTTACTAAGGCCCTTCTGTTGAACAACATGCAGCAGATTCTTGTCCTCCGTTGAAGTCCAAGAATTTTGGTTAATTAAGGGGTCCTCACAGTTCAACCACCTGCAAAATTTTTAAACGGATCAGCCAACAAGTCCAAAACAGAATTAGAAGATGATTTTCATGCAAGCTCTTTTTCAACATTTTTCTTTTTCTATTGGAGGTTGGGTCCTAAGGGGAAAAAACCACCTCATTAGGGTAGCTCAGATACGAGAATAGACTCTCATGCAACACATTTCAAGCAATCAAGCTCAACAAGACAAGTTCAAAGCCATATCCATAAACTATACTATATCAATCAAAAAGTAACTTTGGACTGAAAGAATAAACAAATGTTACATACATCAAGAGTAATTGATATGCTACAGGCTCACAAAACAAATGATAAGCTCTTGAAAAATATAGAACGTGCCAGTCTGCATAAAAAATGGATAAATCTCTAAGAAGAAATGCCTGAAAACTACTTTATTAAAATTTGCCTATCACAGCACATTGCTACCATTTCAATTGTTTGTGCTCTTGGAAAATCACCATCCCATATGACTCCTATTACTACTACTTCAACTACTACCAGGATGAAGAAGTACTCAAAATGCATAAACATTATATGCAACAAAACATTTTTTGCATTCACCTTGCTTGACATTCGGCACCGGATCTACCAGGAAGATACATGGAGGCTAACTCATCCCAGTTGACCTTTGGCAGAAATTGTCTCATCTTGTCAGGGGTAATATCGAGATCCCTGATTGATGCAACAATGCTGTCCAAATTATCAGAATCATCAAAAGATCCATCTCCATCACTGTGAGCAGAGCATCAAGCCATGATATTCTTAGACAAAAAAGAAATCTAGTCACAAAAACTTATTTTTCAACCAATTAAATTAATATAAAGTTAAATGATTATAAAGGTAAGCTCTCTCATTTATCAATTTATTATTGGCATTAATAATTCTCAAAACTATTTGAGTGGAACATTAGTTCAATAGGGAGGACTTCAAGTTGTAACACTTGTTTTTGGACGTCAAATTAACAGTCAAAGCAATCCAAATGATACTGCTTTTTGATTTTCAAGTTGAAATTCTATGAATCACGTTGGATCTCATATACATCACAATGACTTTTTATTCTTTTTGAAAACGCATTACTTAGTTACTTGCCAGTTGATAGACCTAGATATTCTTTTTGCTCAAGTAGCAGATTGCCGTAATCCAAAAAAATCTTTGTTCTTATCCTTGTCTATATTTAGAAAACAAGACTATACATGCAAAAACCTTAACTAAAGGTTAAACATAGGATGATAGGTAAATGTAAAAAATTCAAATAAATGTACTGATGTGAATTCGCATCCTGCACATAGTAGAATAAATACCTTAGTAAATCAACTGATCTTTGAAGCAACATCTTTTGAAATTGCTGTTTCACACCATTCGAGAGCTTCTCTCTCTCTTCCTTTGACCACTTATTTCGAATCACAGATACAGGAAACTTTTCTAAAGCCTCTCTATAATTAGCAACTTGAGAATTCTCAGCAGGCCCATATTGCATAGGAGATGACTTCTTCTGACTAAGCTGCAAAAGCAACAGAAAAATGTATTTCAAAATTCAGACTCCTGACAAATATCACAAAACTTCAACTTAACATATGCTCTTAAAATATTTGTGCAAATGGCAACATTGATTTAAGAACTTGAAATACCAACAGTGTCCCTATAAAGAAGCAATTTTCGTGTTGGCTTAATAAAAAATGAATACTTGAGAGTCTAAGTGAAATAGTCTTTAGTGCACTAACCTGCACATTAGCACTTAGCTTTGGCACAGATATTAGCTGGACGCGGGCATCCTTCTTCTGTGATAAGGCTTGGCCAACTCTCTTTCTACAAGTAGCCTGAAAATCTTTCAGGATCTTCACCCTTTCCTTCAATTTTTTTAGCTCTTCAATCCTGGTTTCAATGTGCAACAATTTGCTCCTAATTAGTTTCTGACAAGACCTATTCTTCTTGATTGCATCCACAAAGGCTTCAGCTGCTTTTGGGAAAGAGGAACCTTTAACAGGCAATATAGCTGCATTAACAGAATCAGAATCGTGCCACTCACTGAAATCAGAAGGCTGGGTTCCAGCATTAACCTTACTACAAGCGTCAATATCCTTGGTGGCATTGTTGATCTTGTCCAGATAACTGGGAGACTCTTCTTGCAAATTAGAATTCTCAGGTTTGTGAGATACAACTTCCGTGCTTTCTCCCAGCCCACCTGAATTAAAACAACAGTAACGTTAAATGCTTCCTTATGTTGAAGCCCTTACTAAAGAACATGTCATCACGAAAAAATCTGTAAACACGGTAAACCATGTATAGGATTCAATCAAAAACTTCATAAGCATCATGCTTGACCTGCAAATCTGAAAGAAAACAACAACAAATAGAATCTCAATGAAGTTTTAATCACAGTG